AGAACTGTACATAGTAATTTGTCCGTTTATAAAAATTTACCCCTTTTTGCAACCAAATTATTCGTACAAAAGGATCAGCTTCATACATGTAAATATACTGAAGGCCAAGAGTAATGATGATCTCTCGATGCTCTCGTTTACTCTTCGTGTCCGTAGCGTTTCTCGCCGTTCATCTACGTATTGACGGGGAGTTTCGTGTGCAGGATAATCGCCAGACTTCTCGGTCCATTCGTTGTTCCTTAAGCTTACACGGAACTGCTTGCACGAGATTCAATCCAGAAAATGTCCCACGGAGAAGTAGAAAGAAGAAAAAGATTTTCGTCTCGGATGCAAAGAAGCGAGCAGATGAGAATAACGAATAGCCAGCGGATAATTCGCAGGCTCAATTTCCGTTGGCTTTTGCTAGTCGGTGTTTCTCCCTCTAGCTCTCCCATCCCATCGATTATTTCTTTACCTAAGAGGCAAGAAGGCGCCCAGTCAAGTGTATATAGTAACGAGCGTACGCGGAACGTTCTCTCGGACCCGGTCAGGTACAACTTTGGCACCCCCGGAGCTAAAAATCGATGGGAGAGGGAGACATCCACTTAGCACGCTGCTTAGACGTGAAAACATCTGTATTGTCGCCGTATTAGCACCGAGGGATTCTCGTTTTACCGATGATTAACCGTGGAAATTGTAGTCTTCCCCGCGGGTTAGAAATTTTTAAAACCATGCCGGCAAACACTCGTTTCCTCTTTCTTTGCCGCAACGTAGGAATTCAGGTTGTGTTAGAGTCGTGAATAAGAAGCGAAACCCGTGATCACAGAAATTGAAGCTTGACGAAAGCCACAACGTGACGACGGGGTGTAACACTGGTTTCATTCAAGATACATACTGCTGTTTACTGGCAGTCGGATCTGCTTTAAAAACAATAGTTTTCTCGAAACGCGTGTTACATTATTGGACGAATAGATTTAAACAGTTGGAATTTTTTCAGATTGACGCAGCGATCTACTCCTTGGACAGAATATCGATTCTTATAACTCATTCTGTCGATGATAAAGCGTATCGACACTACTTATTGCTGCCGTAAATTATTCCAGTGAATTTTCATTCGTATAAAACCATTATTGTCCATGTAAATAACATGCAACTGTTTAACGATTCGACGAATCACAGTATACGCAAAATAGGTTTATTCACTCCGTTGTATTTTCAATTTATTAACATACGTTACCATCTCGGTACTAACATAAATAAACTGTAACGACAATTTTTAATCTCCTAAGCATCTCATCTGCTATCGAATCGGAACGTCGGAAATGGAACAAATGGTCCGCGCGGCGTTCAATTCGCAGAAAATCTGTTCCCGGACTGAAAGAATCGATAATCCAGCGGGTAGGATAATCCAGAGTCGCACGGAGAGGACTGCGCCCGGTTCCTTATCCTGTGTCCTATGAATCATGAATTTCGAAATCCCCGGAATCGCACGCACGTCCATCTCCGATTTCAATACGTTCCCGTTTCACCTCTCACGTCGAGTCGAAGAGACATCGTTTTTCAAATTCATTGGAATTGGAACCAGTATAGTCGCACCTACCTCTAAGAGCACCGTTTAACTATTCTCAGCTTTTCGCTTCGCCGGTAATGGTTGCGAGACGGTCAATGAAACTGGTAGGAATCAGTCTCTGTACCATGTCTAAGTTCTCGAATCTGCATACGAATGCCGACGCATCGCGTTCAGATGAATCGAGGTCGTGCACTGGGTGTATCTATCTATTCGCCACGGTGCTAATGAAATTCACGATTCACGACTCGCGTCGAACAAAAAGAAATGGCACGATGCCACCGGAGGATCGGCAATTCCTCGGATGTTCACAGACCGTGCGGAGATCGGGCGGTGATGCGCGTTTTTTTTCGCGATGGCCGGGCTTCCTGACATCGTTGCTAAACCGGTGGTTATACATATGTATTATGTATGTACGTATGTAGGGAGTTCGGATCGGGCCACGATTAACGTACGGATTAGGATTAAGGTTAGCACAGATTTCGCTTCGGACTATCGGGATTGAAGTGTGCGCGCACCCTGTACTACACTTATATGCCTGTCCTTCGTACGGGGGCTCGTCACAATGTGCCCGGGGTACGTGCGCAAGCTATGGAAAACCTTTTCACGCTCGGTTCTCCACGTATCGCATCACGATCCTCCCCACCGATCGCCTTTCCAACAACAATGACAACGACAGTCAATGCACATTACAACGGTTTTATGTTATTAATACGGACGCATTGGGCGGGATTTGAATAATTGAACAGATCTGCCGGATCGACGATTTGCGAGGGACAGTATAATTTCTAACATCCGCGTCCGAGAGGGATATCAGTTGATGCTCTTTCATTGTCGACACTGCTAAGATTTTCTCACAAAATTCCTCTTTTTATCCACAATTCAGCAGGCATATATTCATAAAATTAGACACCAGTGTCAATGTCATATTCTTGAAAAAATTAATTAAAATTTTGAATCTATAAACAATTGCATATGTATTACAGTTATTGTACGTACAATAATCTGATATTGTTAGCTGTGATTATAGTGTCATTTGTATGTGCGGAAGAAAAAATTTGGCATAAAATAAACTGGTCGAATTATTTGCATAGCACTTATAAAAAAGACAAATAGCATAAGCTGTAATTCTCTCTCTTTACATATCTATAAATCTCAACTTCAACTGTGAATATCTCAATTCTTGGATCAAGTGACAGAAATAATATTCTTTCATTTTATATACAAAATCAAGAATAGCAAAATGCAATAATTAAATATGACTGAATATTATCGTAATCCAACGCGTTTCAAGCGCTCAATATGGGTGATTTAATGCGTGCACTAATAATCAATGAAGTGGTCATGTATTATCTAATCCATTAGAATTAGTCGAGTTATGTTGTTTCGGGCAAACATATCACTATACGTTATAATTTGCTTTGATCACAGTGCTTTTTTTAATGATCTTTTATTACTATGATACGTCTGATGTGTTTGTCTGATCATAATTATTATTATAGTTTTTAATTGCATTGCGGCTGTTCATTTTAGCTAATTTTAAACATTTATTGCCCACATTAGGACATATGTATATTTTTAATACAGATTTATAACATGTGGCATAGTTTCTCACTACTTGGATATCTTGGATGTTAGATATCTGCCGGGTAATAATTACAATTCATCATACTTTTATGTTTTCGACCCTCTGTACTTGTTTCGTATTTGGAAGATATGAAAAATTAGTAAAAATTAGTTTTGTGTTACTACATACAAATATTATATCTCACCTTACCCTAGTGGTACAAATTATTTGTAAACTCATTTACACTAAAAGAACTTCTCCATGGGGAATCTGAACTTACATTCATAACTATAGCGGATTTTATGCACTTGTAGATTTATAAAAAAGACATATGATATCCACGCATACGTATACCGAAGAAAGTGAAATATGTATGTATATGCTATTAAAATAAATTTCTACGTAGATTTCATTTCCTAAATTGACGTTACAAATGTTCTTATGCATAAAAACTCGCAGTTCATTCATGACTGTTGGACACCGACAGTTACAAAACAGTTACAAAAATGTTTGAGCAAACTATTTTCTATACTACTTTTTATTTATGAATAATCATACCGATACTTTAGACGTCTGACTCGACGTGAAAAATCACGAAAGAGTCTTTGACTAAAATTTTGTTGAAGCAGGAGGAAGAGCATTCGTTCGCTTATCCTAGGTACATCTTTATAGTAGAAATTTGTAATTTATGCAGGTTTAACTGCGAACGGCATTCGAATTCCGCAGACGGTAAATCGATTATGTATTTCGTTATTTGTTCAAGTAACAACAGGCATCATCGGTGCGTGGCATAGATGTATGTATAAGTTTGATAATGCTATATGTAATCCACGTGTCGAAATTGTAACGCGTGTGCACAAATCCAGGCGATAGTCCACACAGGTTGTAGTAAAAAAATTTTCTACCTATACAATGGGTCCAAAGCAAGGCACGCATCCAGCCGTTTTCAATTTAGGAATCAATCAACACGCGCACGACTGGGAATGCGAGATGAAATCTGCGTTTCACGTTGAATAATGCGAATGACTGCATATCCCGAACGTGATACCGGTAATACGGAATGTATAAAACGTTCTAACGCAGATTAACAATATCGAATGTTATTTTCTAAAGTGTCATATTACCCATTTCGTACACGATATAATATAACGGGGAACTGGTCGATTCTCGTTAGTTAGAATTGTCAGAAAAATTATGGAGGGTAAAATACACCGATGCAAAAGAAATTGAAAAGCAACTCGCCGGCGAGGGAAAGGCGAAATTATTTCCAGAAACAATACTGAAACAAGGTTCAATCGTAGCCCCTCATCCAAACCCAAACACTTCCGGGAGCATGATTAATTCGTGAATACGATTCGCAAGGCAAACTCGGAAAGCTCTATAATACGCGAGACACGTCGTGATTATCCGTTGTAAATACGTTTCTCCCACACCAGGTCTCTCTCTCTCTCACGATGTACGCACGGTATTCTCGTCGAAGCTCGACGCGCGCGTCGTACGGGGGTTGAAAGGGCATTCTGGCGGGCCGTTCCGTTCCATTCTCTCCCCCACTTTTACTGAATTCCCAGAACCCTCTCTCGTCGGTGGTGTCGTCGGGAGATTGCATTTCCGCGCTTGCATCCTCCCGGAAACCATCGTTGTGCCGCCGTGTCGCGGTGCGCCGCTCTTTCGTTTCATCATCCCCTTCTCTCTGTTGCGTTTCCTGGTCCCAGCCTCCCCCGTCTGCGCCCGTCTAGGGGATGTCAAGCGAGAAGAAGGGTGGTGGGAAAGTGGATGGAGCCAGACCCAGCCACGCCCCGCACCGAGTGTCGACAAAACTTCCCTCGGATATATTCGAGGCTGTCTCTCCGTCCCTCTGTCACTAACACGGGGGTGGCTACCCGTACGTGGATACCGGCGAATCCTAAGCGCACCCCCGGAGGTGAACGCGTATACACGAAAGTTAGAACCAGTCGTCTAATATCCTTTATCATCGATGTCAGTCGATGAGCTCGCCTCGCGTCGCATAGGGTTCCTCCTCGTGGCTGAGAAAAATCTGACTGCGCGTCGCGCGTCAACCCTTTCAACAATCGTACTTCCCGTTTCGTGACAGCCGTAAAACGGAGTGAATTATGAACTGAAACCGATTTTAATAAGAAGACTAGAGAAAAATAGATGTGTTCGATGCTCGTTTGTGACGGAATAGGACAAGATCTTGAAGAATGCACAAACTTCCGAGTTCTGTATCGTGATTGTGATTTTTCTACAGATAGTAATAAACTATCGACTGTGAAGGTGCTATTTTAAATCGGCTAAAACACGTTTCATTTAAAAAAAGTATGTCCGTCCGTCGGTCGTAGTAACGTTAACAATTTACAAATCACATTGTACGACACTATAAACTGAAGTTATACATAACTGAGAGAAAATTTTGTGATACCCCTGTGAAAATTGTATTTGACGATAATCAGATTCTCGTAACATGGTAGAAAGTATCTATGCGAGTGATTCGCCTAGATCGCGTTCTCCGATGACGGAGCCGTCGAGTCCTCTTCAAGATGGTCCCGGTATATCCGGTTACGGTCACCGGTATCTATACAACTACTCGCCTGAGAGCCTGCAGCAGAAGCTAAAGAACAACGAGGAACAGAACACGGTTACTGGAAGGCGGCACGACATCGACGGACGCGACAGAACGTTTGCTAGGAGCCCGATGAGCACCGATGAGGCGCGATACAGACCGCGCGAGGTTTCAAGACCGAGCTGCTCGGCCACTATGTCCTCCCCCACGTCCGCCTTCACCATTGAGAACATCCTAGCGCCGAGGCCCATCGGGAACATGACACCTACGAACACCGTCGGCCTCGGGTCAATTATTCAGAACCCGGAAACCGTGGGTTCGCCGTCGAGAACCACGACGATGCATCCTCTTCAACAGCAGATCCATCATCTCGCGTTCACGTCTGCTGACTTGTTCGGTAAGTCCTTTTACTGGCCACTTGATAGTTTTTGATAAGCAACCGTAAATCTTATGAATATACAAAAGCATAATCATGATTTTTTAATGGAAGTTGTAAGTATTGTTGAAACTTGAAATTATAACCAGTGAACTTGAGCTGATTTACGTTGTAAGATTTTTTATTTAAATTCTTTCTGGCGTCGTTTCTGTATCCGCTACGGAGAGCGTAGGGACACGGGAGTTGCGTTAATTCACAAATAGCCCGCGGTTTCGCGTATATTACGCGTCTTGTAGCGGAAAAATGAAAGAAGGCGTAAATCCTTAGAGGGCCGACGCGACGCAACCGCGTCTCTCGCAACGAAAATTTCCTTTATGCCCCCAAGGGCTTTAAGTATTTCACCGGCGAGCACCCACCGTCGCAGATTGGGGATGCGCGAGCTGAAATCCGCAATCCGTTTTGATCACGCACGAACGATTTAGCTGCTTGCAATCCCAGCGCGGAAGATGAAAAGCGAGAAGGAAAAATATGCAACACGGCTCGCGGCACGGGAAAGTGAAACGGAAAGAGAGGAAACGCGCGAGGAAGAGGTGCGAACGAGACGCGTCGGTTGTGAAAGCATAAATTCGCCCTTCGTACACTTTTATGCGGAGACGTCTCCTCTAAGCAGCTTTCTTCGAGATTTTAAACCAAAACATCCCTTGGGGCTGGGGTCTCGTCGAGTATTTTTCATTCCCTCCTCGCGAGAGAATATTAGTAAACGTTATTACAATTTGAACGCTTTGCCACTTCGTTTCTCGTTCAGGTAACAATTCTTAATTGAATCTTAGCAATTTAAAGCAATCTAATAAATCGACTGCTACTTTTTATCCAGAATGAAAGTTTTGTAACGTTTAGAAACTAAAATCTATTAGATAGGAATTTGCCTTCCCCTGATATTTTCAATTTTTATCTTTTTTATACCTTCCAATATTCTATGGATATTTTATATTTTTATTATTTTCTAAAATCGTTCAAGATATCATTTTTTGATTATTGAATTGTTTTTCTTGCACGTTTCAGCTGCAGCATATCCTAGTTTATACTCTGGCGGTTACGTGGCTGCGATGGCAGCGGCCGGCGTTTCCCTTCATGGGCAACCAACTTTCTATCACGCAGCTCATCCCTATCAAATAAACCCGAACGCAGCGGCGGTCGGGCCGATGGCGAAGAGGAAGCGGCGTCACCGGACAATATTCACCGAGGAGCAGCTGGAACAACTGGAAGCGACATTCGACAAGACGCACTACCCAGACGTGATCTTGAGGGAGCAGCTCGCACTTCAAGTTGATCTCAAGGAAGAAAGAATCGAGGTGAGCAACAGAAAATTAAAAACTACCAAAATGACATCGACCAAAGTAATATCGTTCCTGAAATATTTTACACTGTTAATATAATTGGATAAAACGATTACAATGAAAATTAAACTTGAAAAATCTAATTCTCTAATTTTATACTAACGCGTACGTAATACGCGATGCTGTCAGATAGACCGGACAGATCTACATGATAAATACCCTAATCTCTGTTCAGATCAAAATTTCTACTCATTGGTTTAATATTACATATATGTATAACCAAAGAGGAGAGTTAGTAGAATGAACAAAAATTGGGCCATTTGCTGTAATTGAAACTTGCCGTCGGGACGACACGGCATCCCTCGATAAGGAGAACTAAGCACGTTCACTTCAAACGGATGTAAACTCTGTAGAATATCATATATTTCAGTCGGACAATTTATTAATTTGCATATTTCTAAAGAATCAAATAATTTAAATAATTTAATAATTCTACATGGATAAAACATACTAAGCCCTAATATATGTTGTGTATCTACATTATTTCATGTTTACGAGTATTAATCATAGTGAATGATGATACATGATATACATACGTATAGTATAACACCTGAAATCAAACGGAATTACATGCACAGCAAGCTAATAGGAAAACATAATTCTTAACGTGTTCACAATGGATTAAAAGATAGCATCAATCAGAGATCTTTACTTACTGCAATTTAGTCCCTTTTCTTTGTAATTATGAAGAAACTGATAGTTCAGTAGGAATCTTACTGAGGGATCCACTGAGGGATCCACCGTCGGTAGCTACCCGAGCTGATAAATTACTGTCTCGAACTTAAAAGAACATTGTTTTCGCTTGACAAACATTGACCATTCAGATTGTCAAGAAATTCTCGCAAGCTCTAAGTATCTACGCATAATTTGTACCGATGACAGAATGCTTCCACTCTCCACGCTGGAAATCCTCGAGACTGGTGCTGTTTGTCATCTTTAATGCACCGTGAAAGACAACAACAATCTCGTAATTCTTTAATGCGGTCGTTAAAATTATTTGCGGACAATCGGTCGGCTATCGTGCGTCGTCGCGTTGCTCGACCCGGGCCAACAAGTTGCATGCTAGATTAAAAGCTTTGCCGATAATGTGTTTACTTCAATTACATGTACGCTGACACTGCGCGCGTGTTGCACGTATACCTACCTACCTGCAGCGCGTACACGAGCATCGATACGGGCGTGGAAATGATGGATTCGACGGCTATAAAGATTTACATTGCGCGCTGACGTTTAATTCTTAACGAACTGTATATGCGCTGCTATAATTAATCCAGCCGACCGACCATTAATTCAGCAAATATTTTTGTATCAATAAAAGAGTACTTTCGCATCGTTGGTGTTCTACGCGAAATCGAGAACCGATCCGAACGCGCGATGAATAGGTTGCCCGGCGAGAATGTTTCGAAAAGGATTTAGGAGCGTGTCACAGAGACTGGATTGTTGAAAGAACCCTTCTCCGGCTGGCCATTGTAGCTCTGTTTAAGAGAGCGAGACGATCGTTGCTCAGTTTGCTGGTTTCCTTGGGATCAGTCTTTTAGGACTCACACAGATTCTGATATTTTCCAGAAGCATTAGTTAGGATAAATCATAATTTGTTGAAATTCTCGATCTGAATTTAATTAAACATTTTCATATCATATTGTTTGATTTACCCTATAAAATTAGTTGAAACTGATATAATTGTTAAGCAAGTAGCACTCGTATCGATAGAAGTCTCGACGTGAGTGTGCTGGCTTACAATATCGACGCTTTTCAAGTTATCCCAGCCGGGCTAGGAACAGTAAAATAATCAAGGAATTTCTTTATTCGCGGCCGGCAATTTGTTCGAACAATCCCAAAGTCATTCACACTTATCGTGAAACCAACGGACCACCCGCGTCGTCGGCTTCGCCAAAGGAAATCCCACGTCTCGAGAGTCTTTAAAGACTTTGAAACAACATATACCTGCAGCGCACCTGCCGCGTCGGGGCAAGAGTTTCGGTGTTTGTACAGAATTAGTAGAAAGGCGACTTTCGGACTGAGAAAAAAAGAGGGAGGGAAATAAAGAGGAGAGACAGGAAACGGAGCCTCAAGAGGGAAGCCTGGTTGGAAGGAACCACGACTGTTTACCTGTGCGCGACGCTCTTTTCCTATCTTAGTGATTGCATCAACAAAACGTGGAAACGCGCTAGAAAAGCAGAAGCGTGAAAGTGATCAGGATAAGATTGAAGAAAACTTTTCTGTTTCCGCCGATTTATTTCAACAATAAAACAGCAGTTTTTAAATATAAAACGTTGCATAAAACAAATTCGACTTCTAATTCTAATGCTAGAGAACAGTGTTATTAATACGTAGTACGTACAAGAGGGAAGTAAATAATTATCGAGGAATGAGGCGAAGAGTGATTATGCGTAATCGAAGATCTAAGAGTTGGATAAATATAATATCCGCGACACGATGAGGAGTTCGTTTATCCGTAGCAGCCAGGATATTGATTGTTGGCCTTCATTTAAATCGAGTCAGACAGGCGTGAGGAACAAATGCTGATTTCGAGTGCAGGATGAAGCCTTTTGATCTGCGCCAGCTTCCCTCACGTCGTTAGGAGTTTTCTCAAACGGGATGCGCGCAGGTAATAAACAGGGTTATCAACCAATCAAGCAGGGCGTCGCGTTGCCTCTGTCATGATGAAAACTAACCTTCGACTCTAATTACAGTCAGAGTCATCTTATTGAGATAGAGAGGAGCCAAATACGTATATGTATAACGCGGCAAAACGAACGAATCGTGCAAACCGGACAGAATAGTAACCATACATGGTCAGTTAATTAAGAAACGTTATAATACAATATCCAATATTATATAAATTGTCCAGAATAATTAAGAAATTTAATTCTATTCAAATGAAATGATTCACATTTTAGAAACTATAGTCATCACCGAATCGTACAAAATTTATCTAAAAATATTAATTCATTCGATGATTCAACCTCTAATATTTAATCCGCTTTCGGGAGATTCACTATTTTACACAAAGTTTTTACCTGTTGCCTGTTAACTATAATAATAACTCGACCACTAATAGCAGTCAATGTCATTATTTACACGCATCGAGGGTTTATCTGTGACGAAGGAACACGGTTTTGCCCGCTACTGCACCCGTGTGCGGGAACTTGTATAAAATAAACGCAGCGCGGCGAGGTTACAACGAGCTTCATCCTCATCAAACATTTCCTATTCCAGGTATGGTTCAAGAATCGACGTGCCAAGTGGCGTAAACAGAAACGGGAAGAGCAGGAACGTATGCGGAAACTTCAGTTGGAGCAACGTCAGCGTGCCGACGATGGCGTGTCTACGGCTACGGTCAAAGTTGCCGATCATTTGACGATGGCCAGACAGCAGCAGCAACAACAACAGCAACACGAACAGGATACCGACAGCTCGGACCTTGAAGTCGCGTAGTCGGATATCAATTTTATGTTCTCCAAGTTCGTTTTTATTACACTGAGAGAGTGCCCGGAACGGATACGATCTTCCCGGCCCTTGTTTCACGCGAGGGGACACGTGTAAATACAAAATTAGGGTGTAAATATGTTTGTACATACAGCTTACGATCGATGTGTATAATAGATAGCGAAATAAATTATTGATTCGTGATACGACCTTAAATGAAATGCTTTCTCACTCTCAAGTTTTCTCAAGACACTTTGAAAGAGAAATGAGACAGGTGAAGAGTTTCAAAGACAGCTTCTTATTATTCACCCTTCGATCACGTTCGCATCGACAGTGTGACACAACTTCATATTGTAGAATGGAATGTAGTGATTAAAATCCGCTGGCAAGTTTCCGCGAGTTTAGTTAGAACTTATTGTTAGCTCTACGTGCCTCGACGATTATATTATTAGTATTGTGCGATAGGGGTGAAAGAGCGGCTGGCAACGGGTGGTTCGAAGCGGCGGCGGTCGTAACGCCGGACACTGCAAGTTCACCGCTAGGAGGAAAGTTCGGCTCAAGTTTGGGTAAGTACATAAATCCCGGAGGGCGACTAGGAACTAAGACGTTCACCTGCGGTACAACTTTAATAGGCTCCGCGCTGTGGCTGCGCTGAGACCTAAAGACGATCGACTTAACACAGCTTCTTTTATTTTCCATCGTCTCCGTTTCAAGAAACCCTTTTTATTTCCTTCAATTATTCAAAGTCAGCGACTTTTCTCTCTAGCTGCTACGATTGTTAGAAAAGATGTAGGAGTTTCTGTAATACATGGACTGCGGTTTTTATGCTACAGCCTTTTAAGATTGTTCTCTGGCTATACAACTTCCGCAGAGTTGTATGTGTTTTGAATGCAGTGAGTCGTTTGATTTTGCTAACTACCCGCGTTGGAAGGTATAGTATTTTAATTGGTATATAATGAAATAATTATTAAAGATGTTTAACTGTTATTTCTTCCTCATTTTAACGTTGCGTTTTGAAAATTTTTAGTTTTACTACATTTCATTCACTTGAGAGATTTCGCATGCGTTAATCGTGAATGTGTAAAAATCTTTATTTTATTATCTTCTAAGTACTCATTATTATTGATGAAATACTTTTCTAACATAATTAGTTACTATTGTAAGAAAGATCAAAATCTATTTTTTCTTTAATCTTTTTCAATTTAATGTAACAATACTCTACTTCACTAGACTCTATATGTTGATTTCAAATTGATATAATCCCAAAACGAGCATTTGAATTTCTTTCATTTTCTACATGTGAGTTTAATATGATAATAACTATTTATTAGCAGAATTGCAAACAATTTCTACCTGAACTGTACTTCATTAATTAATTATTGCAATTTTGCGTAAAGTCCACAGTCTAATAATATCTCCTTTACGAGAAAAATTAAGCAAGTCAGTTTCGTTTAATCGCGGAACTTGAAACGTGCCATTTATTACACATGTGTACAAAATTTACATTTCACACGGCAGACAAATTATGGTGAAATCGACGATCACGTGCCACCTTTGCAGCAGACTTTATCGATTATCCGCGCGGACTCGGCCCTCTTGTGCTTCCACTTCTTCATCTGTGTTTTCTTCTCCTCATCGTACGGACACTCCACCTTGGTTATTCTTTTGCCCCTTTCTCTCTTCTCGGGCCTGGCACCAGGGAATGCGGATGGTCCCAGCTCGACGACTTTCAGTATCTCGATAGGGTTCAGTGCGAACTGACTGCACTCGGGTGATCCGATCGTCAGTATCAGCGCCGTGATGAACTTTTGGAAATACGTGGCTCTCAATAGATAAACCGCTCCCTCGCCGTACGCGAACAACGGCGGTCCTAAAGAGTTCACGTCGCACATGTAATAAGCGCCGCAAAACTTGAATACGCCCAAGCACGTGCTCTCGCACGTCAGAATGCCGAAGTTGTATCTGAGGAACAGCTGCTCGAGCGATTGCCACAAATATTTGCCGGCCTTCGCGTACAGTCTGCCGCAAATCGCTGGAAGTACCTTCGCCTCGAACATCGTCTCGCCGATCTTGAAGTGGCTCTTTAGGTATCGGTTCCAACAGTTCACGTGGCTGTATTCGTTCTTCGTCGCCTTGATCTCCGCCTCCAGCTTGCTGTGCGTGTAATACCTGTCCCCACACATGACGATCACGTCGAGCGTCTTCGAGCTCCAGTATTCCGGCGCCATGATCCTTGTCATGCCGGCGCAAACCACGTAACACGCGTACGTCTGCATCCCGCGATTCTCCCTCTCGAACATGCCGCTGGTGATGTGCAGCTCGCCCCACAGAGAGAACAGCTTGTTCGATTCCTCGACGACGTATTGGTGCCAACGCATCTTCCCCAGTCCAGCCTCCTCCTTCCTCTTCCTCTTCTGTGGAAGAGCCATGCACTTGGCCCAAGTGATCTTGTACAATTTCAACCAAGTCGGCTTCTCGATCGACTCTTTCAAATCGCTCTCTTCTTGTTCGATCGTGCACGGGTCCCTCGTGTCGAGAGGATCGAACGGGCAATCGTCGATGGTCTTCCTCTTCACGTACTGCTTCGGTGGTTTCGGCGCGCCTCGTTGCAGCAACTTTAGATTGTATATCTGGCAACAGTGATGCACCACATGAAATATTTGCACCATAAAGTTGTTCTTCTCCTCTATAGCTTGTTCGATAGTCCCTTCTTTTTCAGCCGGTTGCTCGGTGTCCGTAGGAGGTACCTCAACGGGGATCTGCGTCAGGGAAGCATCTGGTTGGTCAGTTTCTAATTTCTCGGTTTCTGGTTTCTCAGCTTCTGGCTGCTCGGCTTCTGGTTTCTCAGCTTCTGATTTTTCAACTTCTGGTTCTCCGGCAACTTCTGGTGTACCTTCTGGTTTTAATGGTTCTTCCTTTACGGGTTTCGGGATCTCGTAAACGTAGGCTCTTAATAATAGGATCATCAAATGTCGTTTAAGCGAATTTTTCGAGCAGAACTTCATGATACAAGCGTAACCATCGTCGTCCCAATAGCCGAACTCGTTGCATCGATACGGATTGTACAGATACCAGAATAGATTGTCTTTCCAAAACGCGACAGAGAATCGAGTCGTGCGAAATATGCAGTTACGATAGCGTGGTTTAAGCTTATCGAACCATTCCTCGATTTGCCTGATGCCTCTGTGAACGGGCGCTCTTTGGTCGTCCGTTATCTTTTCAGACCCGATTTCCAGTTTAATGTTCATTAGTTCCCGTCGCTGCATCATTAACTTCTGTTGCAAGTGCTTCTCCTCGTAGTCCCACGGAATGTCCGTGACAATCGGCACATCGTTTATTTCTTGAATCAATTCCACTTCGATACTATACTTGTAATTATACACGATGATGTCGTCTAGTCTTTGTTTCTCTTTCACGTTTATCATACCCATGTGGGTGTATAACATCCAAGCGTGATCGTATATGTAATCGATGTTGGCGCTCCAAGCGTATTTGTATCTTGTAGTTAAAGTAGAACATTAAGAAATATTATAAATGATCGTAAAAAATTAAAAAACTTGAGCTCTAATTGCTTCTATATATTATTGAGCGAAATATTTTATACAACATTTAAATGCAACAGATACCTCAACTGTGTTTTGGCCAGGAGGGCAATGACCGCTTGATAGAAACAGAACTTCCAAGTCTTCTTGCGCTCTCGCAACACTCCAAGTTCCGGCAAATGCATTCCCTTCAATCCTCGAAGGCAGACATCAGCGTAGATCCTGGTGCCGCGCGCCTTCGACGGTAACTCGAAGATGATGTAATCGCCGTCGACTAAGCCAGGCTGTTCACCCGCGGCACGATCAACCAGCAGCTCCTTAGCTGGCAAGGGGCACTGTTGCGGAATCCGAGCGTGACCCAATTCTTTACGATCGGAGTAGTCTTTCTGCGGGTCCTCGAACGGATCCTGGACTTCGGCCGGGTCGCAGGGGAATAGGTCCTTGCGTATCCGTTTCTTTTTCTGTCTCCGTCTGTTCAACAATTCGGTTGCCAAATCTCGTGTCGTGCACGGCCACATACTTGGCCATTTATCTTGACTCGCACTTTTTCCTACTTCAGATTCTACCGCGGTGTCGGACTTGGATGAGTGTACCTAAACAAGTTATAGCGTTTCAATATGTTTATAAATATTACAAAAATTCGTTTTCATATCATTTTGTAATTTATTCGACATTAAGGTTCCGTTATGTTCCTGTGTTAATTAATTCTGTCATTCTTAATCGGATCGAGTTATCTTTACTAGTACATAATCTACTACAATGCTCAATATTTTTTCGATATTTGCGAATCTCGTGTTGTTACTACAATGGTTCGTGCAAAACGTTTAGCGGAAAAGTCCTCAACATCGTTTAGTCGTGAGTAGTTGAGTGACCGTCACTGAAAATTAGCTGCCAAGTAAAATCAAAATACAATTTTAAGACATGTATAATAAATCCGTCAAAGCAGATTTTCTATACATATTTTTATTTCGCTTTTCTAACAAAAATTTTCAAAAATGCGCTAAAATTTGAACAGTCACAATTAGCCCTTAACGCGGCAGCAATGACAGAATATAGTATTACGTACTGGCAAGTTTGCTCGCATGTTCCTCCATATTCGAATCATCTTGGATCGATCCAACTTGTTAGGCAATTGTATCTGGCCTTGCACTTGAAAAGCGCTAAGTGGCAAACATTTGTGATGCGTGGTCAAGTCGTCCTCCGATTGGACACGTGGAAACTTTCTAAGGGTGGCCGGCCTCCTGTGCTTGAAAATGTCGTCCTTCTCTCGTTGTTCTGTATCATCGACGAATCTAACGAAATCAGGGAATCAGTCAAACGGAAACTGAAGTCACCTCGATTCGTCACATTTCTTACGTGTTCGTGAAAAGACGCCAAAGAGATATATCGTCGCACTTCCTATATTTTTGAGATTGTATGCAGTGCTCCATCCAAGTCATCGGTTTTGCTCTTTTGCCTTTCTTTTTATCTTCCATCGGTGTCTCCTCACCCTCGAGAATACTATACTCGGGTCTCCCTTCATCCTCGGTTCCCCTGGTCGTGTCTTCGTCTGTGTATTCTGTTTCCGTGCGTTCCGTTACCTCTGTATCGTACTCGTAGTCCGTGGCTTCCTCGCCCTCAGCCATTTTCGTTCGATTCCACTTTAGTCACCTCTC